CATCCTAATTAGAGTTTTGTTGTAACACTCCAATTTAGGGGGTTAAATTTAAGAAATTATAAAGTGGTGAATTTAATTGGTATTTTTGGAAGGAATTAGGGATTAAATTGTAACATTTCAAAGTTGCCAGACCGTTTTAAGAAGTGCAGGAAGTTCAGTGACTAGACTCATAGTTTACCCATTTTTATTATGAGTTGAATTATAAATCCCCCATTCCCGTATGTTTTCTGGAAAATTTTCCAGATTTTCCCTCTCCGATCAACCAACTTTCAACTCCGATCTACTCGCCGTCCGACCTCCGATCGATGAGCCGAAACCACCATCGTGTTCGTTGTCGAGCGAGGAACAAAACCCCTCAAACCTTTCGTCGTGAATCATCGCCGTTCGTCGTGAATTTCAGTCGGAAGTATCATCGGTAATAACTCGGTTTTAGTTGGTTTTTCATCGATTCACGACGATCGGGTCATCCGTTTACGACACCTCCCGCACCATCATGTTCCTTGTGCCATTCCGAGTCCACCGGTGTCCTCCCTTTTCTCCGGCGGCGGCGGCCCGTGTGGAGGTGAAGCGGTCGAAGTTTTCGATTCGTTGAAATCGAGCTCTCCTCCGTTCAAAAAATAATTTTTAGGAATTTTTCCGGGAATTTTCCGATATCAGGGCACTGTTCACACGCCCCCACGCACCGCCACTGCGCGTGAGGAAGAAAAAATGACCGGTTTGACCGGTTTTGGTGCATAGTTGACCGGTTTGACTGGTCATAACCCGACCCGACCCGTTTACCCGACCCGTTGACCGTTGACCGGTGTTGACCAAAACTTTGACCGGCTTTGACCGGGCATTAAACGACCTTTGACTTCGACCGAGTATACCTATCCTGACATTTTTCGACGTTCCAAATCCGATTCCTCTGTATTTTTTTCGAAATTCGAACTCGAAGGCCTCGAAATTACTGGTCAAACCCGTTGACTTTGATTTTGACCAAAAATTCCAAATTTTCGAAAAGTCATATTTTATGCTTTCGACGTCCTGAATCTGAATCCGAAGTCCGTTTCGCCAAATTCGAACATGGTAAGCTATTTTCACTGATTTATCACCCGATTCGATCCGTTTATCGCAATTAAGCTCCGTTTCTGATATAATTTATGTTGATATGTATCTAAGGAATTATTGGAAGTTGAATTGAAGATCAAAGGCGTTCGAATGGAATTTTTATGGTCGATCAGTATTGCACGGAAATCGAGGTAATACTTTACTACCTTTTTATGCTTTATGGAACATGTTTATATTGATAAATGCATGAACAAGATAATATTGGTCACTTTGGTGGAGTTGAATAATTTATACACTCGATATGATGTGGTAGAAATTCTATAACTAATTACGGATCGAATGACTAATATAAGAGATTAAGGAATTGTGAGATTAAATTACAAGTTTGTGATTAGTGATAAAGAAATCAGCCCTGTATCTATAACTTATAATTTATTTCATCAAAGGTTAAATGTTAAAGGTAATTGGATGGGAAATTATGAGAATACTCCTGTAGGGTAAAATTATGAAAATACCCTTATGTTATAAAAAGACAATATTTGAATATGGAAGTTAGATAAGAGGATTTTACAGACATATTGATCTGATAAAAATATTGATGTGTATAAGAAATGTTAGTTTTATTTGGAAATTATGGATAACCGGTTTTAATCCTATGAGAGTTTGTGAAGGATACTAGAAGTTTGTTAAGAGAACTGTTTCAAGATCAGAGAGTGTTCAAGAAAGCAATTAATCATATGATCTCTAAATTATTTTAATTTCGTTAAGAGCTAATATCGAAATTATATGGTTAAGAAATTACGAAAATACCCTTAAGAGGTAGAATAGTCTGAGTTGACTCTAAATGAGAAAATACTTAGGGGATTCATACTTAACTCGATTAAGTACGGATTTAATTGTTAAGATCCTGACTTAGTGCAGAAAAATTCCTGATATTCCGTTTATAAAATCTGAGAAGGCACTTGACCCGGAAATATTCGAGTTATGAGTAAATACCTGAAGAACAATTTATCGGAGGGTGCTCTTTTATTAGAATTGTTCGAACGGACTGAAATAGATGATAAATTGGAATTAAATAATAAGACCGGTTGGAGGAAAAAGATTGAAATACCGTGGATCTGTAAAATAACCAAATTACCCCTGTAATGGAAATGACCCAAGAATATCACCAAGCTCAGGAATGATGGGATATCCTTGAGCTCTGTTATGATTGGAATAAAACTGAAAACCAAAATGACCAAAATACCCTTATGGCCTATATTAAGTAAATGTCTTGGATTAATTAAGGAATCCAAGTAAGCATAGGTATTGGACTACCTTTAAAGGTAATGGAAAACAGTTTAAGTGAGTAGATCAACCCTAAAGCTATGTCAATACCTGAATGGCATAGATATTACTGGAACATGTATTCGTCTTCTCAAGTTTGGCTCGATGATAAATTTTGGAAGTATTCAGCTCAGCTCAGCTCTAGATCGTATTCAATACTAAGAATTGGACGTTTGTTCGAAAAATCAACCACGAAGACCAAATTGAATGGAATAGAAGTACAACATGTATATGAAATTCAGGAACGTTTGAATTACTCTGGAAAATCCTGAAGTAACTGGAATGGACATGACTGCTAAATGAACTAGGTAACCTCAATGACTGAGGATTTAATAAGTGATTTGGATAAGTCTGGAAACTCTGATGAGTTTACGTAGTATACAATTACAATGGGTTATGAACAAATTAATCAAGTACATCGGCATTCCATGATATTGTGGAAACGTGGAAATGAAATAAAGACATTGGAAGATTTATTCAGCGATGATTCCGAAAATGGTCTACGGACAAGAATTTGTGGTATTAAAGAGTAAATACCTTAGAAGGAAAATGAATTGACCAGTAGACATAGATTGTTAAGGTTCTGAATCTTTGTTCTCAAGTTGTTCGATTATCCGATCAATTGACATGGATGTATAGGATTCTGAATACCCTTCTGATTACGTACAACTTCTGAAAACTGTCCGAATAAGATAATATCCTGATAATTCACGTTCTGAATAACTGATGATTCTGTCAGTTATGAACTCTTCCAATAGTGATTCTAAATTCCAACATTCTATCGACATACTAAAGAATTGTGTTTCTCTGCCTGATATAGTACCTCTAAATAATACCTGTAAACTCTGGTGTGTTCCCTACTCACATGAATATTTTATCTGATTTTCAATTTGAATTCTGATCTGATACTTGACATGGATTCTGATATGATATCTGACATGGATTCTGATCTGATACTTGACATGGATTCTGATCTGATATCTGACATGGATTCTGATCTGATACTTGACTTGGATTCTGATCTGTTACTTGACCTGATTTCTGATATGATACTTGACTTGATTTATGTTTTGATTTTTGATATATCCGTTTACGGACGGAAAATGTTTTAATTGGGGGGTATTGTTGAAGGAAGAAGTTTCGTAGGTTCCTCGGCTTTGTGCTCATGGCCTTATATGATGTGTTGGGTTGGGTGTATGGTTCTGGGGAACCTACACATTATGATGTGTTGGGATGGGGGTATATATATATATATGTTTTAAAAAGATCTGAAAAGTTACATGGTTTTTGGGAACACACTAGATAACCTATTCTGATCTCCTGAACTCAGTCATCCGAAATATTTGTCTGAACTGAAAGCTCATTGTCCGTTACCATTTGAAATATCAGTAGGATCTCTGCTCAGTATAAAAATCTATAAATGTTCGGAAATAATAAGGATATGTATGTTTATCTGTATCTGTACATTCTTCAGCATCATCTGGTAGTTCTGTATTATTGAGCTTTTCGAAGCTCACTCTATTACTCACCTTTTCAGGTTAAAAGAATTGTACCAGTGCATCTATCGACTTCAGTAAGGGAGTTTTTCCGGCGTTGTTGCAGAGAATGGTACATGTGATTAGGGGGCATGTAATTGTATTTTGATTTATATACGAGTCTGAAAATCTGTTTTATTTTTAAATAGTGACTACTGATTTTATAAGTTACATGTTTCAATAAAAGTTTTAAATTTTCCGCTATTTTACAGTGGGTCACTCCGGTGGCCCTAATGTGACTTCCCGGATCGGATCCTCCGCATCGGTCTGGGGGGTTACATTTGTAGTCCAATATGACACTAAGGGGGTGTTTGGTTCAAAGATTGTGGGATTCCCATAGGATGAGAATCCCACATTCCCATGTTTGGTTGGCCGGGAATCTCATTCCCGGTAATGTTTTATTACTAATAGTAGATTTTTTAGGGTATATTACCGAGAATGTCATTACCTCCCTTCCCTTAGGTATTGTAACATTACCGGCGTTTTGAACTAAAATGCCCTTAAATTTTTATTTTTTTTTTCAAAAATATCATTCTTCTGTCATTGAATAATAAAAATTCTACGAAGGTTAAATTACAAATTTATCCTTAAATTATTTTAGATTTACAAAAAAAAAGTCTATAATTAAAATTTTATATGAAGTTCAGGGGTTAATTTTTTTTACCCTTTCATTAAACCTATTTTATATTTTTAATTTTGTAAAAAAATATATATAAATATTATGAATTTAATTTTTTAAAGAAAATATATAAATATTTTATAATTTGTAATATTATACAAATATATAATGACAATTTGGTCAAATATACATTCCTATAATATTTTATTCCTTTGACTAAACACGGTAATCTTATATTCCTGCTAAACCAACCAAACACAAAATACAACATTCCTAGTAATCCTATTCCCTGATAATATTTTATTCTCACTGGTAATCTTACGTTCCGTGAACCAAAATGCACCCTAACAGATTAAACATTATGATGAAGCTTTAAAAAATTGTAAAAAAAAAAACCCTGATATATATATATACACACACATATATACATCTTTCTTTCTTTGTTTCAATTTAATCGCCTTCTTTTCCCAGTAACTGACGGCTACGCACTGCATTTCGGTTCAGGTATTCCTTATCTCCTATCACCGCTTAAACAGTTTTGTGTGTTTGATGAATTTCCTTCCTAAAAGGAATTATAATTAAAAACAAATTATAAGTGGGATTTGGGGATTTCACTTTTTTCCTCTCAAAACTGTGAAAATATCATATCCTTTTGTGCTATTATTTTCATTGTTTCGCGCCTTCGCGGGTTAACTGTGTAGATTGCATATGTGTTGTATTTTTTATTTCTTTCCATATACGTTGGAAAAAAATTGAAATTTGGCTAAAAACTGAAAAAAATTTCATGAATGATCAGAATTGGCTTTTTATTTTATGAGACTTTTTGTTTTACAGTAGGTAAAGTTGTACGATGGTGGGATTTAAGAACAGATATATGGTAATGGAGGTAATGTTGGATCCAAATAAAGAAATATCAGGGGATGATCCTGTCGTTATTACCCAATTTAATATCTCCAAAGCAATCAAGGATAGCATTCTTATCAACTTTGGTGAATGTGGTCTCGCCTCTTCGATCGGATCTTTCCAAGGTATGCTATAAACAATGGTGTTTATTCTTGTTACTTTGGTTTCCAATTGATTGTTGTTGAATGAAAGTTCCTTTTTCTTCTAATGATCTTTCAACTAATTGTTTTTTATTTTGTTTCAGTTAAATATGTCAATCCGATTACAAAGTTGTGCGTAATTAGAGCTACAAGAGATGAGTACCAAAAAATTTGGTCCTCGATAACTTTGGTTAGGAGTATTGGTAATTGCCCTGTGATATTTAACTTGCTGGATCTTAGTGGTAAGTTCTTTAAATATGAAGTCAAATTGGTATGTATGTAATATCTTAGTTGGCTAATCGTCAATATATTGACATGATTTTATACAAGTTTTATTTATATATTAAGCCAAAACAGCATGTTTGTAATATTTTAACTAGCTTATTCTTTAGTTGAAAGACTTGCTATCATTTTAGTTTAGTGAGCTTGGAATTAATGTTTACTAAACTATTAGGTGGTTTTAACAATTGTGAAACAACATTTTTTAGCATGATAAGATTTTTGAGTATTAGTTGTCTGATATGAAGAATGTTTTTGCTACCACTTAGCCTGCATCTTTTAAAATTGCAACATAACACAACCCTATCCTATAGGGCTTTGTTTCTATGAAAACCGAGTTCAGAGGTGGGATAATCTACTATTGAAAATCAGGGTTGGTTTGAGATTGTTTTAGATAAAATCCACCATGTCTCCAATTTGGGATATTTTTTAAAATTCCTCTCTTCAAATTTTATAACTCTTTTACATATATTTTAGTTTGTACTAGAATTTACTGCATGCATTTGGTTTAGTTAGTAGATTTTTGGAAATGGAGCTCAAGTTTTGGGGTGAACGGTTAGGAGTTTGAGACTTTAATAGTTAATGGGTCAAGTTCATGTGCTAGAATGTGTGTTCGAATTTGGGCTAGGTATTGGATGGAAATATTTGAAAGGTCAGGGCAGGAACTCTGACCTGTCCACATTATTGTTTTACAACTCCACTTTTTACATGATTTTGATGTTGAAATGTTAAAATTTGAACTATGTTCACAATTTGGTGTGAAATTCTTTAAATGTCTGAAACAGATCAGATTGTTTGATATTGTGTTCCGTTCTTTCTTTCATCTAGGAAGTATGAAGGCATGTAAAAATGCTGCCTTGAAGTGTGATGAATTAAAGTTTGAGCAGTACAAGCTTATGGTTGGAGCACGGCTCTCAGTTGATGTTGCTCAGCATATGCAGAATTGTCTTGAGAAGATCAAACTTTTGGAACACTGAGAGTGCTTTGCATGCAGTAGTTGAGTGACCTGTGATGCTGGTATGATTTTGTGCACCTGAGATTAAATTGCTTTACATCGGCATTCATTTTATGATTTTACCAATGAACAAATAAAGGAGATTGGGAGGTTAAACCGGTCGGACTTACGGTCATCGGTCGGACCTGTTAACCAAATTATTCAATTAAAATATGAATGATTTATTAAGTATATGGTTTTGAAATTAAACAAATGTAGTCATTACTTAAGTATGTATTTAACATAATGGTATAGCCTTGAATGTGTGAAGGTTTAAACTTCATCTCTTTCAAAAATAATTCTAATAAAAAATAAGAAAACCCCAATTGTCATTTTTTGATTGAACTGATCCTAGTTGATATGATCCGTTTTTTCCATCACCACATTTTTTCTCGATATTTGGAGTGTCACCTTACTCTTATCTGTGTCGGTACCGGCTCATGGCGCTCAGGCACACCGGTGCTTACTTTCTCAATCGGATCTTATCTTGGCTATGTATCTTAATGATGTTTAATTAGTTTACCCTTTGGTTTTGATGTTGTGGTTGGAATAGTAGATATCATTGATATCGTGTTGAGCTTTTGGACCCATACTTTTGAGTATATTATATGATATTACTCTGATATTCAGAACTCGTAATGTGTATGGATCTCCCATTAAACATTTCTTGTTTTCTCTATGATTTTGAATTGATAGATTATGTTCAGTCCCCACCATGTTAATCTGTCATGTGAATTCATTGATGGGTGTTTCAAAATGCTGATGCATGTTGTCCTGCTGGCCCGTCTTTGTCTACGGCATGCTTTAGCCCTTATGAACAAAGTCTCGCTTTGGGCCAAACACCTTGTAACATTCTGATATCTTCCTATAAAGCCAAATTGGGAAGAGACATGAACATGAACCACATGAATTTAGGGTTCTAATTCCAATTTTGGAGAACATATCCATATGCATCACCTACAATGAGCACCAGCGTTAATGGCATGATGCCAGAAGAAAGTAGCAGTGAATGCAAGGCGTCAGTAGTCGACCATATTAGCAAATGAGTTGATCTCATATTCTCATCTCGTGGGAGACTGCCAAGCAACACAGACACCACTGTCACCGGTCCGATAGCGATATACCGTGAACTTCCCATACTTTGGACCTTGTGAATGTACGGCAGTTCACGTCTCCTTGGGAGGCATGCTCATCAGTTACAGGGCGAGGGGCGAAAATTACTGTACTGAATCTGCACTCACTCGTGGACAACATGTATACATCCAATATAAGTATGCTCAATGGATCACAAGCTCATATCCCTGTACGTATATCTAAATATGAATCATACATGCGGACTAAGAAACAAATAATACAACTTCAAGGATTTATATCGAACAATGAAGATTGAAGGATGTATCGATTCGAAGAACATGGAAACTGATCAAAGACAGTGTTGAACTGAACACAGCTCCTGGAAACAGAAGACAAAATCCAATATATTTTCTGTTGCAAAATGAGCAAATAATTGGTTTCATTTTGACAAATGAAGATTTTGTGATCTCATCTTCATTGGGTTATATTTTCAACTCCCAGACTCCAAGGGAAGTAAAACAGGGTCTTGATTTTAAAACCCTTTACTTGAAATAAAGTCAAAAGTAACTGAAAGTTTGGTCATCTGACACGAGTTAAGGTCAATAGGACCCTCTTGGTTTTGCATTGTAAAATATTCACAACGCAATACAATAATGATAGCTGTGAGATGGGGTTGGCAAATCTTGAATTAATATTAGTACTAACCTAACTCTTTGTTGGACTAAATAGCAAGAGTTGAAGAGAAACAATACAGTTAAGGCACCTATCATGACATGAATTTTTAAGGATTATTCCCCATTGCACTCATCCTATGTTTGGCTTGTAGTTGTAAATGCTGAGGTCCGTTTCCCTGTTTTAATCTCACCGGAAGACGATGGTTTATTCGAGAAAAAGCCACTCCAATGGGGTATTATGTTTTAACTAGGTGTGTTTAGAAATATCCGATTTAAATTATTCGGTCAGTCGACTACCCAATTTCTTTTTATTTATTTATTATTTTACTAAAACTCAATAATTTTTACCGTTTTGAATTCACCTCTGAGTTCTCTGCTTGAATGTTATTACTCTTAGTGCTTTTACAGCAATGGAATTGAAAACTAATTTAATTTTTTTAAAAAAAGGTACCTTATTATTCGGATTACCATATATCCAAGTTTTACGTGTACCCAGTTATTTTGAATCAGGCCACAAATCATTTTTTTTATATTAAAAAACTCCGAGTATCCGAATCTTAGAGTATTTGAAAATACGAATATCCAGATACGAACTCCCAAGTTTTAACTGTTACAACCCTGTTACACATACAAAAGTCTGCTTTACAGAAACCACAACACAGGGCAAAAGCTTAAAATATGGATTATACAAATATCTCCTAAATTACGCCCTTATTAACTTTAGGTGTTGAAGTTTTTTTCTCTACAAATTAGGTTCTAACATTATGTGCATGGTTAATTTGATCTCAATTGTCAGTTCCGTTGTAAAAATACGTATGATTACCATAATAAAAATTTAAAATAAAATATTTTTAAAATTTTAGAGAATTTCAAAAATATTTTTAAAAATTAGAAATTTATTAAATATTTTTTAAAATATAACTTTTGCAATTTTGTTTTTGTTTTGAAAATCTTATCTATATTTTGAATTTTTGAGAGATAGTCCCGCGAATCTGAGCATCGTGTGTTGAAAATAGATGGTTTTGAATTTAGAAAATAAAATTTTATTAAAATAAATAAAACTAAAATAAGAATTTCGATTAAGAGATAATTTTGTTTTTTGAATGGAAAATGAGGTTGTGCCCCTCAACATAAAATTAGTCTTTTTTTTTATAGAGAGTTCTTATCTCTTTTTACATTTTTTTTCTAGCTAATAGAAATGATTGAAGTTATACAATTATTTAAAAGATAATTCATAATAGTATGAAATGACAAAAGACTGAATAATAATTTTATTGGCATATTGTTTCTCCTTGCAATAATGCTTTGCTTGTATTCTTTGATCCATCATGGCATACTATTTCTCCTTGTCTTGGTGTAGTAGGAATGATAATGCTTTGTTTGAACTCTTTGATCCATTATCATGGCTTACTATTTATCCTTGTCTTGGTGTAGCAGGAATGAAAATGCTTTGTTTGAACTCTTTGATCCATTATCATGCCTTACTATTTTTCTTTGTCTTGGTGTTGCAGGGAATCTTGCATGATTTTTTATACATTTTTTTAATTTTTTCTTTTTGGTCTTGATAATCTCGACGACAATGGTATCGTCTGCGAGATCACTGTTTTGGTTGATGATGTTTGTGAGTTTTCCTGTTCATTTTCTAGTTCAGATTTAGAACTCCTTGAACTTAGCATTTCTGCAATCAATTTCTTGTATTCATTATTGCTTTTTGCTTGAGCTAATATCGTACTAGCATTCGATTTTGCTTGTAAAAATCTTGTTGTGTCTTTGTCTGGAGAGGTTGATTTGCAGAGACTTAGATTTTTGATAAAGAAATTATCCCAATATTTGGAGTCATAATTTTCATCAGTGAATTTTCCCCATCATTTGGTCTTGAAAACTCGAATCAAATATGAAATTTTTAGATAGTCATCAAGTTCATATTCATGATTCCAGGAAACAATCCAAAAGATGCATAATTTTGAGAAAAATAGATACCTGGGTAGGGGTGTTTTTGGTCAATTTTGGGTTGATATTTATTAAAGAATTTGGACCAAAGGTATTAGTGTTTTTTGGGTAATATTTCAGAAGATGATCCATACCAATTTCACCACTATTGAAACCAGTTAGGAATTTATAATGACTTGTACTTGAAATATATGAGCCAAGAATGTCTCATATGTTGATTGTTCATTAGGAATAGTGCATATCAGGCTGCATGGTAGTCCCAATATGAAATATGAGTGCATTGAGAAATTTTTCAAAAAATAATGTTGAAAACTTCATCAAAGTTGACGGATGATAACTTCGTAAAAAGGCTTATTTTAAGGCATTTTCCATTTAAGTTGTTGTTTGTCTAAGGGTTCATATAGGTCATTTTAGATGTATATAGTTGCATTTAGTTGCATTTGTGGTGGTTGTGTTGTTTTACTTTATTAAGGTTCTAGATGATGGGAAATGAGTGGCTGGTTAGTGATGTGCATGAAACAAGGAGCAAAAGGTAAGCTAAGAAGAATGTTGCGGCATCACATGTTGCTGAAGAAAACTGCAATGCCTTGGCATTTCTGGCACCGAAAAGGACAAAAAGACATTTTCACAAGAGAATAGTTGTCAAGGAACTTGTCTGCTGCCTATAATCGTATGAAAGGGTTTACCACCACCTGTAGAGATAAGCTTCACGCACAAGGAATGACTTGGGGGGTATGATGGGTATTTTAAGTGTAAAATCCCAAGAATATCCTTAAGATAATTTTTGTTATTAAAGGACATCACACAAGAGAGAGAAGAGACAGTTACACAAGCTTGAAAATCATCATCTTCTCCATTATCTCCACCGTTCTTATTTTCTCCATTTTTATTTGTGTTCCTTCATTGGTGAAGCTCGAGGAAGTGGCATAAGCATTTGAGAGGAGCTCACACTATAGCCATTCATGGTGGTTTGAGGAAGTGACGACCGTGCACACCTTGTGTCTTCTTTTGCTACCTTTGCTCCATTGTTAAAGCTTGAAAAACTTAATTTGGTTGTTTGGTTGAATGAATAATTGGATATACTCTATAATTTATTCAAACCTCATTATGAACTCAACTATATTTGGTGGGAGTTCATTTGATGGATGCTTGAAAACTTTATTTTAATGGTTGATGATTGTATTTATTTTGTTTTTACTTGTTTTGTTTATTTGTGCTTCATCTTCTAAGATTGTAGGAGGAATGGGAGTCTCCATTTCTTAGATGAAGACTAGATGTTAGAGAGAAATCTAGTCATTAATTCTTAAGTGTTCGAGAGAAACCTAAGTAAGATTAGCATAAACAATGGGGTATGGTTAATTATTATAGCCTAATTCCTTAGTGTTTAAGAGAGGCTAAGCTAAGATTTCAATGAC